GTAGCTTCATTAAGCTTTCTATAGTCTATACACACTCTCCACCTTGTTATTGTTCTAGTGGGAATTATTTCATCTTCATTTTTCATCACAGTTGTCCCACCCTTTTAGGCACTACTTGCACAAGACTTAACTAAGTACTACCAAAGGTAGGAAAAATAATACCTACATCCAACCATTTGATTACTCCTTTTTTACCAGCTCTTGCACTTTCAAACTAAGGTGACGTTGTGGTTGAACAATTAGCTTGAACCCATCTTCCATCAAAATTTTATACATGCAAATCAAAGGACTAGCTCCCTTGATGTCCAATATGCTCCATCCTATGTCTCCTTTATGTTCTTAGAACACCCCTAAGAGTTTCTCCTCCTCACTTCTTGTCAAAGAAGTAGAAATTATTATAGCTATGGTATTTGAATCACCTAAATAAACATACTTTATTAAGAAGGAAGAGGTTTTAATTCAAGAGTAGAATGTTCCTCTTTAGATGGCTTCACTTTCATAGTAGATGAAGCATCTATGGACAAAAAACTTCCTCCTCTTTATGGCTACCCATTTCATTTTTCTACAAGAATAACTATTGCCTCTAAAATGTTATTACCTACACAATCAACTTTCATACCCAAAGCATTAACAATACAATTGTCAATAGGATCATCTAATCTAGAAGCATTAAAATATTAACTACTAAACTATCTACCACATTAATCCTTAAAATTGCACTTCCATCATGACTAGAATCTTTCATAGCCTTAAATACATTAAAAACTATCTCCTCATCATGTATTCTAAAACTAAGTTTTCCTTGTTGAACATTAATAAGAGCTCTACCAATAGCAAGGAATAGTCTTCCAAGAATTGAAGACATTCAAAATCTTCTTTAACATCAAGTACAATAAAGTCAACAGGAAAAATAAATTTGTCAATTTTTACCAAAACATCTTTTACCACTCCTCTTAGATATTTTATTGTCCTATCTACCAATTGAAGAGAGACTATGGTAGGTGAAGGTTCTCCCAATCCAAGTTTCCTAAACACATGAAAAGGCATCAAATTAATACTCGCATCTAAATTGCATAAAGTTTTATCAAAATTAACATTGCCGATAATATAAGGTATAGAAAAATTCCTTGGATCCTTCAACTTAGGAGGTCACTTATTTTGAAGAATAGCAAAGCATTTTTCATTTAACTTCATCATCTCAAACTCCTCTAATTTCCTTTTATTAGCAAGGATCTCCTTCAAAAATTTTACATAACTTGGCATTTGCCAAATAACATCAATAAGAGGGATATTAATATGCAACTTTTTAAGCACCTCTAAAAATTTAGAAAACTGTTTATCCAAGTTAGCTTGCAAAAATCTTTGAGAAAAGAAATTCTGGGTTTATAAGGTTTGACATTCAAAGCATGAAAAGGCCTCTTAGGTAGTTCCTTTTGCTTCAAATCACTAGCTTCCACACCCTTTTCATTTTCATCTAATTTTCCTACATCTCCAAGTTCTTATCCACTCCTCCAAGTGATAGCCTTTAGTTGCTCACATGGATTCTTTTTAATACTACTTGGCAAACCTCCCTCATCTCTTCGAATAACTATATTAGCAATTTGTAATGTTCCAAATAGCTGCATCTTGATTTTGGAACCTTATTTCCTAATTCTAAAACCTTGCTTTTGTACTACTAACAAATGTTTTCACCGACTCCTCCAAATTTGGTTTCTTTTCTTGTTGATTTTGTTGCGAGAAACTTGGTGGTACTCTAGTTTAATTATTACTCCATGAAAAGTTAGGATGGCTTCTTCCTCCTAGATTGTAGGTATTAGAGTATGGATTGAAACTAAACCTACCATCGGAAGAGTCAAAATTAGCTTCTTTATTAGAAGAAAGAAATGAATTTCCAACTTGACATTCAACACTAATATGACCAAATTGTCCACACAATCACAACAAATATTAGATGAAACACTCGTTGCTAATGCTCCAAAACTATCCAACATTTTAGTCAAAGTAGAAATTTGTGCAAATAAGGAAGTAAAAGTATCAACATTATGTAAACCAACTCCCATTTTGGTAGTTCTATCATTACTCCAATAATAGTTATGGGAAGCCATTTCATCCAAAAGATTATAACTTTCTTTTGGTATCCTACTCATAATGGTATCTCTTACAGTTGCATCAATTATAAAACGATTACGAGGAGTTATACCATTATAAAAAGTTTGCACTTGAAGCCAAATAGGTAAACCATGATATGGACACTTCCTAAGTAATTGTTTAAATCTTTCTCATGACTCATATAATGACTCATTATTAGACTGAACAAAAGTAGTAATGTTATTTCTCATCTTAGTTGTTTTAGAGGGAGGGAAAAATTTAGCCAAGAATTTTTCTACCAATGCATCTCATGTGGTAAAAGAACCTATAGGAAAAGAGGTAAGCCAACTCTTGGCTTTATCACACAAAGAAAATGGAAATAATCTAAGCCTAACAGCATCACTACTAACACCATTATGGTTAAAAGTATCACAAATTTTAAGAAAATTAGTAATATGAGAATTAGGATCATCATTAGGCAAACCACTAAATTGAACTTTTTGTTGGATTATCTAAATAATAGCTGGTTTGATTTCAAAATTATTAGTCTGAATCTTGGCCTCCTAATGCTAGATAATGCTAGATGTTGTTCCTTCAATGGATGGGATGGCATATGAACTAAGAATGCTTGAATTATTTTGACCATCACCTTCTTCTACCATGATGTTCTTCTTTTGCCCTCTTAAAAATTCTTTAAAAGTTCTCTCTATTTCTAGGTTAAAAGGAACAAGATCATCACCACTAGTACAACTCATGCACCAGTAAATATATAACGAATGTAAATAAAAATAGACTAAGGTAATTAAAGGATAAAAACTAAGAACTAATACTATGAAATATGTAAATTAATTGCCAGTTGCTTAAAACAAAAGAACAACTAATCAAGATTAATAAAAAAATTCAATCTAAGGTCAAATTATTAGTCTTAATATGACATGACTACTTCTTAGCAACAGTGCCAAAAACTTGATCACCAAATACGCACCACTCTCAGGCAAGTAAACCTAATTAATTATGTAATATCAGATACATAAGATATTGTTCTCTCGAAGACTATTATACATTCCTAAAATAATAATAGTCTAACCTAAGTTGAATTAGTTAATTAATTGAATAGGGTTAAAGTACTTAATCTAAAGGAATTTTCTAAGTAAAAGGAACTAGGATTTAGATTTTATTTAATTCTAAATTATGCAATTGTTTAATTAATCTAATTCAAGTTCAAATAACAATGGCATCAGATAAGAAGATGAATTTCCCTCAATTAATTAACTAGTTTTCTCAAGTCAAGTTAATCTTTCCCCTATTTGTTAAAGTAATCATATCTCTATGTAATTTAAAATAAAATGGCAAGCATTAAATTCTATGGAAACCTTTAGCTTAAGAAGGGGGAGCTCTTAACTTTCTTCTCTTCCTCCACTACCACATGTGACACTAATTACCTTTCGATCTCTTAGTCTAATGCATGGTTTATATTATTATTAGTCTAATTTATGCAATTCTTTTGTAAATTCATGCATAAATCACTAAATCAATTGAAAGATAACCAGGTTTTCATTGCATTAAGTTTAACAATATAAACTATCATGCGAGTAACCAATAAGTCTTGAATTAAACTAAAATCAATCATATAATCTAAGAATTAAAATCCATCTACTCCTAGTTCAAGTAATTTAGCCACATATAATCAAGTTTAGAACAGCCGTAAAAATTAAAGAGGAAATCCAACAAAGAAACATTGAAAAATTAACAAGTAGGAATGAGAAAACCAGTCCTCTAAGAATAAGAGCAAGGTTGGATTATTATTTGGACTTTTCTTCCTCAATTGTGTGTGGTTGCTATTATTGGCTCCACTCTCTACTAATTTCTAAAAGCAGGGCTGGCAAAGAAGAAAACAAGAGGCAACCACCTAATCCATTGTGAAGTTGAGATATATATATATATATATATGTTCTATACCTTTTGCTTGTTTTCACTTTTTTACCTCCATTATTCTTCTAGGGCTTTTGAATTTTTGGGCCTAAATTGTTGCCAGCCCACAACCTTGAATCCCCTTAATTGAGTAAAGTTAACCCCCCCTCCCCCCACTCTAAGCTCTAGCTCCCTTTTTGCAATCTACCCAATAATTATTGTGTCAAAACTGAAACTTCGAACTGAAATTTCAAATTGAATACGATTGAACTTAGTGAGCTTGCAAAGAATAAATTGTGGCTCTACTTCTTAACTTTCTAACACCTCGAGAATCACTTCAATCCAATATCTAGAGAAAAAATTATGGTTGAATTACTACTACATGCTTAAACTACTACTACTTGAAAAAATTAATTCCCATTAAATTTGTTCTTTAATCTTCACCTACAAAACAATGTGATAGATGTAAATTTAGGTGACACTAAGTTATAAAGTACACCAAGAAATTAATTTCTAAGTCAAAAATGGTATGTGAATGTATATAAAAATTAAACTTATCAGCCATGCCAGACAACCTAATATACCCTTTGCCTTCACCAGAGAAACCCCTAGAAGGACAAGAGGAACCAATAAAACTCCCATACTCAATGCTAAAGAGATTCAACCCACACAATCTTTGCCAAAGGAGACAACACCCATGTTGAAATCGCCACCCATAAAGCTAGGGAAAACCCTAGCATAAAGTAATGGCAGAGCATCATCCATTTTGATGGAAGATGAATTAGTTCTTAGGTCAAAAATTTTAGTTAACATGTCTTCAAGAACCGAAATAAGCACAACAACCAAGCTAAGCCCAACCAACTTCTCATTCACGTTGCCATCCTCCCTTAACAAAAGCAAAAACCTAATGAAAAATAGAGAAAGCAAAAAGGCAGAAATCATCAAAAAAATGGGAGGAACCTCCACAAGATAGAAAGAAATTCCATTTTTAGCCATCTACCCTAACCATCGAGAAAGAGGATAGGAGACGCCAACTAGGGTAAAGGAGAAAACAAGAAAAGAAGAGAGGTTTAGGGCAATAGATGGGAAGGATGGCTAGGTTTTAGTGTTTTAAATGGTAAAGCATTTGCTTTCTATATAATCTTAAGAAGGCATAGCACTTATTCTTATTTTACTCTAATATTAAGAAGATAATTAAAATTAATATTAAAATAAGCACATTTATTTAGGTATACTAATTAAGGGACAAATATGAAATTTTATCAATAAGTTATTATAAAATTTATATATTAAATGATATTTTTATTTTTATTTTATTGGAGAAAAAAATAGGTCAACTATTATTAAAAGGTGAAATTATTAATTAAAGGTACTTTGATAACTTCAATTTTGTATATTTCTAAAATTTCTCTCCTTCAATTAATATGAAATTACAAATTACAAAAACGATATATCTACAATACCACATGACATTGTATATTTACAATACAATATGTCATTATATAATTAGCTCTTTTCACTTAAGGGTTCACCTGTAATATTATAGGATAATGCTACGTTTACCCTCCTTTACCACACACTCTGTTACACTCACTTACTCTCTCAAACTCCGTTAGTTTCTGTTAAGCACGTAGCCCAACCCTTTCTTTCTCTTTCCTTTCCTTTCTCCTTCTTACTATTCACCATCCTCCTTGTTGATCAAAACCATCAGAATCCCTTTGGTTGATGAACTAGAAACATACAAAGAAATCACGAGAATCATCAACCTCTTGCGCTCAGAAAACATTTCGATTCAAGCTGCAACCTCGATTGCGTACTAGGAATTGCATATTATGGGAGAAAAGAAGCGATTGAGAACCAGCAGCAACCCAGCAATTACTTTCCGTTAAGCACCCAGCCCAACCCTTTCTTTCTCTCTCTCTCTCTCTCATTTCCTATCTCCTTACTGTTCAGCATCCTCACCAAATCCATCTTCCTCCTCACCTCCATCCTCATCCTAATCATTTGCAGCCTCATCTTCCTCTTAACAATCTCGATTCCTTCGAACCCGCCTCCAACAGATCTGCTTTCGCCACCACCACCCTGCAGCGCCGTTTCCCCTGCTTCCTTCAAATCTGCTTCTGGGTTTGATGCTTCCGCTAGATTTGCTTCAGGGTTTGATGCTTCTCTCTCCAGTGTTCTTCCTTAGATGTTCTATTGTCCAACGACCCACAAGAAATGGAAAAGCATTGTGGCAGTGATGGACCATTTGAGAAAACAAGGGAATGATCGGAGATGTTCGAGAATCAGCTAGAACTACAGAGAAAAAAAGAAAGAGAGAAAGAAAAAGTTGGGCTGGGGGCGTTTGAGAGTTGACGGGAAAATAACGGAGATTAAGCGGGTGTAACGGAGTGT